CTGGGGGGGGGGGGCGTTTCCCGCCTTTTTTTCCTAGGGACCAATCGGGCGAAGGGGCGGGCTCGGTGGGGCGCGGGGCCTCTGCAGCACCCCACCCCTGTGCCCGCTGCGCGTGGTGCCCGGGGGGTTGGGGTGGATCGGCCGCGGGGGGCGCGCCTGGCCCCAGCCACAGGCGGGAGGCGGGGGGGCCCCAGCGGCGAATCCTGCGGCCCCGGAACGGGGACCAGGCTCCAGTACCCCAACACGTGGGGGCCCAGCACCGGGAGGGTCCCGAGCACCGGGACCGCAGGGGACTCGCTGCCCTTGTCCCCAGGGGGAGCGACTGCAACCGGCCCCTCCCGTCGGGGCGCGTTGCTCGTTCCTCCTTAATGAGCCCCTTCCGCCTTCTCGCCCCGTCTGCGGGGCCGCAGGGTCGGTGCTGCCTGCCGGCGTCCCGCCCGTGCCCTGTGCCCACGGCCTGCTCCCCTCCCCCCCCGAGGCTGGAAGAACAGGGCCGGGGCGCAGCGGGCGCTGGGCTCAATAGAGCACGGGGGGGGAGGGGGTGCGCTACGCCACGCCACGCCACGCCAGTGTGCCCTCACTATAGCGCTCGCTCGCTCTGTGCTTCTGGAGCGAGGGGCACCTCCCCCTCCAGCCACATGCGGCAAGCAGCTGCTAGGCCCCACCCCTGGCCATTTTGTGCTGGCGCAGAAGCGTGAAAGGAGGCGCGCAGAGGTGGAGTCTCCCCGGGAGTCTTACACAAGACGCCAGCACTGTGGACAGACAGATAGAGACAGAAGTACTTCCCCGGGACATTGGACTTGTGTCAGGTGAGTGACGATGGGGTCACGCCTGGGCTCTGACGTCCCCTCCGTTGCCTTACGGGACCTCCTGCCCTCACCCCCAGCCCCCTCCCAGAGGACCCAGGCGTCTGCCCCCTTCCCGAGAGCTCCGTGTCTGCGCCCCTGTTCCATATGGGGAGAGAAGCCAGGCCGCCTGACCCCTGGCCGCACGCACACACACGGAGACGTGCACACAACCCAGGGGGGCAGGCAGGCACTGGGTGCTCAGAAATGTGCCCAGTTGTGGGGCAGCCTTGCACATAAATGCAGAGAGCCTCGGGCTGCAGCCCCTTTGGTTCTCTCTGAACATTTTGGAAACCCTTCCAAATTGCAGCCAGTTTTTGTTTCCTCTGACTTTTTGCATTCGAAAAACTAGTGAAGTGAGCCAAATCCAGAAGACCTGGGTGTGGAGCAAGGCACACCACTCAGTGTGTGTGTATATATACTGACTGTTTTGTGCAGCAGTGCCACACTTGCAACTGGGACTGGCTGCCACGTCCACCCCACCAGGATAAATGACAGTCTCAGCACCCCCACCCAGGCTTCTGGCGCGCGCGCGCGCACACACACGCGTACGTACGTGTGCAGGACACATACGCTAGCAACCCAGGCATCTGGGGGACAAACATACGCATACACACACAGAGGTAGCTCACTAGTGGTAGATGCCAGGCCTCCTCATGCAACTCTTTGTTCCCTTTTTCTGGGACTGCAAAGAACAGGGCCAGATGTAGCTGGTGCTGGGGTGGGCACTGGGCTGGGCCAGCAAAGGCAAACCTCTTAATAAGCCCCAGCCTGTAATGTTAACGAGGCTGTCCATACAAAATTGAATACCAACAATTTCTAGAACTCACCACCAAGTGGCAGTAACATTCCAAATCAATCATGCTATAATAAACAAACAATTAAAACCCCAACTACATCCACAAAGCTGGCAAGAAAAAATAAAGTAATATCTGCTGCCACTAATAGAGAAGTCAAAAAATCCAGGATACGTAAGGAAATATCCTGCTGCTAATAGGGAAGCCAAAAGCTGAACACAACTATAACAAAGGCCCGTGCCTGTTATAAATATAGCCAGCCCCACAATGTACCCAATAATAATAATTTTTTAAAAATCCAGGCATAGTTTCACACATCCCAGGTAAAAGAATGCCACACAACTTATAATAAATAGTGTAAAAATCTTTTTAAAAATCAATTCTGAATTTTCAGTCCCATTCAAGCACAAATGTATGTTCAGAAACTAATAAAAAAATTAAAGAAGAAAAAAACCCTGAAATTTTAACAACCAAAATTAAAACAATAATTTAAACTAACACTGCTCAAAAAACTCATAACTTACAGACAGGGAGTGATTAAAAGAAGTCTTAACTGGCGTTGTAAGTCTAGAAACTCCTGAGATGGGACCTGCAAGAATATGCAAGCTTCCCAATCAAGTGAATCATTTTTCTGAGCAGGGACCAGGACATTCTCCCCCGCCCCCCACTGGGACCCCCATAGGCCCCAGGGGAGGCGCACCCAGGCCTGGGATCAGTGAGGATCTAGTCAGGGAACTTCTGGAGGGACTGAACATATTTAAATCAGCAGGTCCTGACGATCTCCACCCCAGGGTGCTGAAGGAACTAGTAGAGGTTATTGCGGGACCCCTGGCACAGCTTTACAAGCACTCATGGTGCTCTGGCGTTGTGCCGGAGGACTGGAAAAGGGCCAATGTGGTTCCCATTTTCAAAAAAGGGAGGAAGGAGGACCCAGGAAACTATAGGCCTGTTAGTCTTACCTCGGTCCTGGGTAAGCCTTTTGAGAAATGTATCCTGGCGGATGTCCACAAGGGGGCAGCAGGGGAGATTATGCTTAGAGGCAACCAACAGGGGTTCATTCAAGGCAGGTCCTGGCAGACCAGCCTGGTGCCCTTCTATGACTGGGTCACAAAATCCTTGGATGCAGGTGTCACAGTGGACGTAGTCTTTCTGGATTTTAGGAAGGCCTTCAACACTGTCTCTCACCCCATTCTCATTAAAAAACTAGGAGACTGTGGCGTCAATATCTACACAGTCAGATGGGTCACTAACTGGCTGGAGGGCCACACTCAGAGAGTGGTGGTGGACAGTCATTTTCGACCTGGAGGGAGGTGGGCAGTGGGGTCCCCCAGGGCTCGGTCCTCAGGCCCACACTTCAACATCTTCATCAGTGACTTGGATGGGGGGTAAAAAGCACCCTGTTCAAATTTGCAGATGACACTAAGATGTGGGGGGATGTGGGCATGCTAGAAGGGAGGAATAGGCTGCAATTGGAGCTGGACAGGTTACAGGGGTGAGCGGATGAGAACAGGATGGGTTTCAACACCAACAAGTGCAAGGTACTTCCTCCCCAGGTGCAGAACCAGCAGCAGACCTACAGGCTCGGGAGCTCCCTTCTCGTCAGTGCAGAGGCAGAAAAGGATCTTGGAGTCATTATTGATGCCAAAATGAACATGGGCCGACAGTGTGCGGACGCGGTCAGGAAGGCCAACCGCACCTTGTCATGCATCCACAGATGCATCACAAGCAGGTCCAAGGAGGTGATCCTCCCCCTCTATGCGACACTGGTCAGGCTGCAGCTGGAGTACTGCGTCCAGTTCTGGGTGCCGCACTTCAGGAGGGATGTGGACAACATGGAGAGGGTCCAGAGCAGGGCAACCCGCATGATCAGGGGGCAGCAGGGCAGGCCCTACGAGGAGAGGCTAGGGGACCTGAACCTGTTCAGCCTCCACAAGAGAAGGCTGAGGGGGGATCTAGTGGCTGTTTACAAACTGGTCGGGGGGACCAGCAGGCATTGGGGGAGTCCCTGTTTCCCCGAGCACTACCAGGAGTGACAAAAAATAACGGTCACAAGCTGGCAGAGGGTGGATTCAGGCTAGATGTCAGGGGGTGCTACTTTACAGTCAGGACGGCTAGGATCTGGAACCAACTTCCAAGGGAAGTGGTGCTCAGTCCTACCCTGGGGGTCTTCAAAAGGAGGCTAGATGATCACTTAGGGCCATTTGACCCCAGTATTCTCTCCTGCTATGGCAGGGGGTTGGACATGATGATCTGCTCAGGTCCCTTCTGACCCTACCACCTATGAAACTATGAAACTGTTCACAAGTCCTCTCCTTCACCGGGCAACCCCCACGCCCCCCTCGTGAAAACCTCCCTCTCACACAAGTCCTTGTGTGAGATCCCTTTCAGACAACAGCAATCCCATCAGAGTGCAGGGAGGGGAGGGGAGCTGCGTGCCATTTCCCTCCTCCTCTGCCACCACCCCTTCCTTGCCCACGAGTTCTCGTGCAGACACCCCCTTTTTCACAAGGCCGGGCCCAGGCTGAACTGAAGCAGGCAGAGGCTGTAGAAGGAGCCCTGCTCGAAGCTGCCCAGCTCCCGCTGCCCCCCCCAGCAAGGAAACACGCAGCCCCCTTCTTTTTGGGTTTGTTTTTTAATTGAAAAAGAATCTAGGACTTGAGTTCTAGTGAATTAAACCAACTACATATTTGAAAGCAAATATCTAGTTGGTCTAATAAAAGCTATCACCTCTTCCGTGAGTTTTGATTGCCAGGTTACAAAGGAAACTTCCTCTTGCAGAAAAGGCCAGTTTGTAAAAAGTTGCTCTGTGAGACGATGTCTGAGCCTGAAAGCTTGCAAAGAAAACAATTTTTTTGCAACTATCTAGTTGGTCTAATATAAAAGAGACCACCTCTGCCCCAAGAGATTTGTGCCGAGGGATGACTCAAGCAGGGAAGTTGAGACGGGGAAGTGCTGCTCACGGTGGCACTGCAGACGTTACAGGTGGGGGCAGGAAACGGGTCAGCGCTGCCCTGTGGTGGGTCCAGCGGGGCGCTGCAGCCAGGTGAAAGTACAATGTCGGGGTTATGGCCAGGGTGGATAAAAATCAACAGGTTTTTTTTAAGTTGGATTTTGCTTTTTAAATCAGACTCTCTTTTTTATTTAAGTGTACTTTTTTGTTAAGATGGTGTTTTAAATAAAAAATAAACCTATAATAAAGCTAGTTTTAATTTAAGATACATTAAAGCTCAAAGATGTCATCATGGAATAGGGATTATAACTTCTAATTGTATACTATTCGAGACAATACGTGAGGCAATATATTCATGTAACTTTTTTAGAAGTTTTATAAATCAGTCACAACAGGCCACAGACTATATCGGGGCCCAAATTTATTGGGTTCCAGAAGCTCCTCTATAGATTAGTAAAGATCAAAGAAAACCACTCTGCCCAGTGGGACTCAGTGATCAGTCTAGAAGATCTCATTAAGCATCTTTGTGATACTCGGTTTCAGTTCTCAAACCCTGGATTTGCGTCTCCAGAGATTACAGGCAGACAAGGTTCTTTGGGTAGATGTGATCTCTTTTATTAAACCAACTAAATAGTTGGAAAAATGGTTCTTTGCAAGCTTTTGGGCACAAACATCCTTCTTCAGGCACAGGGAGAGGCTGTTGTCTCCAGAGATAACATCCTGGTTAACAGCAGTGTATGGCGATGAGAGAGAACGGACCCAATTACCCACCCACCAGCCCCCTGGTCTCTCTGCGAGCTTGTGTACACAGAGTTGAGCCTTTCCCTCTCTCAAAGTGCAGAGTTTCAAAAAGTTCAGTGAACAGAGGGTATCAAACAACAAGAATGTACTTTCTGAGGAAAACAGTGATTAAGCCGAGGCTTCCTGGTCAGCAATTTAAATTGTGATTTAAATCAATTTGATTTAAATCAATCCACCCTGGCTGGGGGGAGCAGTTACCTCTCAGTCCCTCAGCGACAGCACTCTTGGGGCAGAGGCGGTCTCTTATCTAGCGCTTTCTGCCTGGCCCCCGCATCTGCCCAGCTGCGGGCACTGGCCCGCCTTGGGCTCTCTCTGCCCCTTCCCTCTACAGGCAACTCCCTGCCTGGTCAGCCATGTTTCTTTGCCACGGTCCTTGGGGCTAGCTCCTGTTCAGCTCCCTGGGCTCTGTCTACTGCCTCTTCTCTCATTAATGTCACAGGAGCCCAAGCCCCCTGCGCCCACCCCAGAGCCAGCCACGTCTCTGCACTGGGCACCAGTGCTCTGTACAGTCAGCCCCAGTGCCCAGCCCAGAGGCAATGGGATCTCAGCTCCCTTGTAACTCCCAGCCATGACCTACCTGTGCCATGTCAAGGCTGGGCAGCTGCGACCCTCGTCCTTTACAGAAGTTAGCACAAGCGCTGTAGTTGAGATCAGTGCGGCTGGAGAAGATGGTCCCTGCAGTGCTCTTTTCTTTGGGAGAAACCAGAGCTGGAAGGTGGTACAACAGGGTCAGTCCCTTGAACGGAGATGACCGGGCTCCTGGCTCCCCGCTCTGCCAGCCCAGCAGTCCCCGTTCCCCTCCCAGAGCTGCAGGACAACCCAGGTGTTTGGGCTTCCAGCTCCCCACCATTGCTTATGTGGACTGGAGGAAGGCACCACAGTGCTGGTATACTGCAGTGTCCCACACGGCCACAGTATCACACGCAGCGCCAGTGTCAGCACCCCTGGGAAGCAGGTGTTAGAGCAGGCAGCAAGTGCAGCAGAAGCAGCTCCCTCCCTGCTCCCAGACACCTGGTTCCCTCCCCAAATCCCCATGTGGGGGGCTGGGAGGGACCCCCAGGGGTACATTCAGCCTAAGCCCTGCCTGAGACAGCAGGATCAGCCCCACGCAGGACAGACACTCCCACCCTTCAGCCCCTCCTACAGCTGCTGGCACCCCCAGGCCTCACCCCCGCCTTTGCCCCAGGGACAGCGGGGGGGCCGCAGTCGGCATGTCCTGCTGCTGCTGGGGGGTCAGAGACACTACAGAGAGCCCAGGCTGTGTTCCTGCTGCAGAGGGAGGGGAAACCCCCCTGGCTAGGCCAAGGTGAGCAGGGGGCAAACCCCTGACCCTAAGGGGGTAAGACCCTCCAGCCAGGACCCTACGGGTTGGTCCCAGCAGGAGCATTGGCCGAGCCCAGTCCCAGGCTTACCAATTAATACAATCATCTGTCGGTGATTGTTTTGTGTTGAAGTCTCAGCTTCCCCGTTCTCTGGATCGCCTCTTGTCTCTGTGGGAGAAAGACGCATGATGAATGCTCCCTACACAGACCTGGCCAGAGAACCGAGGTGTTCGGGCTCTCAGCCCCCCTGCGCTCACCCCCCTGGAGCCAGGAGAGAGCCCAGCATCCAGGCCCCCAGTCCCCATCCCCCTTTTCCCTGAACTCACCAAGTAAGTTGGTGCCATTCAGGTACTGGGTGCCTACCTGCAGCATTTCCATAGCCCTGTCCTGCCTGAATGACTCCAATCTGGGCTGCCCAGGTCCCTCCTGCCAATACAGGGGAGAACATGGGGTGTTCAGCCCTGTCCCCACACCCCAGAGCAGGGAGAACCCAGGCATCCAGGCCTCTGCCCCTGCCCCCTCCCCACCTGCCAGACCCTGCTCCATTCCTTTTCCGTCTCTTCCTCCATGTCGCCACCTCCCAGAGCGCAGCACGGCCCTTCACTCAGGGCTGGGCGGTGATGGGCTCTAGATGTGCCCAGCTCTGGGGAGGTTACTGGTGCCTCCTGCCCTGGCCCCAGCCCCCTCAGTGGAGGGAAAATATTCTCATCACCCCCCTGCTCTCACCCCAACCCCCTCCCAGAGCACCCCGGTGTGCAGGCTCCCAGCCCTCCTGTACATCTCTGCAGAAAAGGCCCTGGGGGGGTGGGACGAGGAGCTGGACAGGAGCCAGCAGTGTACCCTTGCTGCCAAGAAGGCTAATGGCATCCTGGGCTGCATTGGTAGGAGGGCTGCCAGCAGATGGAGGGCAGTGATTCTTCCCCTCGATTTGGCACTGGGGAGACCACATCTGGAGTCCTGTGTCCAGCTATGCCCCCCCCCCCCCCCCCGGTGAAAGGATGTGGGCAGATTGGAGAGAGTCCAGCAGAGGGCAAGGAAATATGGCTATGGGGGGCTGGGGGACAGGACTTGTGAGGAGAGGCTGAGGGAACTGGGCTGATTTAGTCTGGAAAAGAGAAGACTGAGGGGGATTTAATAGCAGCCTTAAACTCCCTGCAGGGGGGTTCGAAAGAGGACGGAGCTGGACAGTTCTCTGCGGTGGCAGGTGACAGAACAAGGAGCAATGGGCTCAGGCTGCAGCAAGGGAAGTTGAGGTTGGATATTAGGAAAAACTTTCTAACAAGGGTGGTGAAGCACTGGAAAAGGCTCCCCAGAGAAGTGGGGGAGTCTCCATCCTCGGAGGTTTTGAAGACCCGAGTAGACAAAGCCTTGGCTGGGATGATGTAGTTGGGGCTGGTCTTGCTTGGAGCAGGGGGCTGGACTGGATGTGACCTGCTGAGGTCCCTTCACCCCTCATTGTCTATGTATTACCAACTGCTCC